TTGTATTCGTCTGAAAGAAGAAAGTAAGGGCTTGAGGGTGATTAAATCATGGGGTAATTTTTATTTTTGGGCGAACTACCCCTTTAAGAACATATCTATCTGATCTCCTCAATAGGACAAGGTTAGGGATAGAGTGGACATGTAAGGTTAGGACTATGATAGTTTGATAAGAATGTTGGTTCAGGATCAACAAGGAATACAGATCCTGAAACATGTGCTACTGAGTGGTGAAGATATGCAAATGTTCTCTTTCAACTGTGGAACTTTAGGGCCGAGTGCTAGGGCTTTGTGGGAACTTTGATGGGAAGGTGACAAACGACCTTCTGACAAGCATCTCCTCAGAAGTTTTCAGTGTTTTGGACTTTGGGAATAGTTGGAAGACTGCAGCTCCGCCATGCTCAGATGTAACCCATGAAATATTTCCTTGTGAACGACACTCCTACTGTGCAGCCTGGGCCCAGCGGCGATGTATGATCCTGAGATCAGACACCTTTATAGATTGCCATCTGAAGGTACCTTACAGTGCCATTATTTAATTAAATAAAGTTATTTCTGATGTTTAATCTTGGCTCATTGACTTTAACTAAATAAAGCACTGTTTCTATATCAAACATTTCTGACCATTAAGTTCATCAAACTCTTTCTGAATTTGGAAGTAGGTTCAGGTACACAATATATTTAATATAATTAATTTTTTGTCATGAAGAAAGGTGGAACCCATTTTGAACCAGCCAGTAACTGTTGCTGTCTTATGAATACTAGGTGGATCCAGAGCCTTATTACCAGACCTGTGTTTTGGAGTCCTGTTCTTGTGAGTTTGAGGGAAAGTTTCTCGGCTTTTGTACTGCTGTCTCAGCTTACGCAGAGGCGTGCAGTGCAAAGGACGTCTGCATCAACTGGAGAACCCCAGATTTGTGTCGTATGTATTGCATTCTACTATAATTATTGGATTGGACTTTGGAAACAATTAAGAATTTTCCCAGCATGAGCATTTCCTGGTAAAGGCATACCTAGGTTATTACTGAGTTAGTCAAGTGATTAGAGTGTTTGTTCATCTCCACAGCGGTGTATTGTGACTATTACAATGACGTGGGCCAGTGCACCTGGCATTACAATCCCTGTGGCCAGGTTAAGACCTGTGGCACTAAGAACCGCTTTACAGGAAAACTTGAAGGTATTTTACCCCTTTCTGTTCCTGTTTCTTGGTTCTGCTGTTGTACTGCAGTAATTTATCTGTACTGCTAGACATTAGAAACACAGAAACTATTTAAACATGTTCACCAAACAATGCATGACATTTCAGGTTGCTACCCAAGATGCCCTGAGGAGATGCCATATTATGACGAAAACATAGGTAAATGCACCGCTTTGGACAACTGCACTTGCAACTTCATGAACAGAGTGTTTTCACCTCCTGATGAAATGTGTACTTCTTATACATGCTGGTAAGCCATTTTGTAGACTCTTCTTGTAATGATGGAAAGAAAATTAAAGATAAAACGTTTATTTTTATAAATGTTTTTATAAATGTATAAAACTACAGACTTACCATTAATTAGTTTGTATTCTTTTTGCTTAGTAAATGCCTTGATGGACAAATTGTCTGCACTCCTACATTTACATCTACAACTACGACTACAATTTATTACACATCAACATCTCAGCCATCTACAACAATAACCCACACAGCCACAACACAACCACCAACAACTCAGAGCACAACACAATACATAAGACCAACAACAGAATACACAACGAAGCCAACAACTGAGAAGACAAAAGAATCTACAACTACAATTAAAGACACAACTACAACACAGCTAACAACAGCTGTGAGCACAACAGAATACAAAACCACAACACAACCACCAACCTCACAGAGCACAAAGGAATACACAACACAACTATCAACTACAGAGAGAACAACAGAATATACAACCACAACACGTCCACCAACAACTGAAAGTACAAGAGAAACATATACAACTCCAATGGAAGAAACAACCACAACACATCCACCTCCAACCGAGAGGACAACAGAACACAGAACCACAACACATCCATCAACAACTGAAAGTACAACAGAATCATATACAACTCCAGTGGAAGAAACTACCACAACACAACCACCACCAAACGAGAGCACAACAGAACACAGAATCACAACATATCCACCAACAACTGAAAGTACAACAGATTCATATACAACTCCAGTGGAAGAAACAACCACAACACAACCACCACCAACCGAGAGCACAACAGAACACAGAATCACAACACATCCACCAACAACTGAAAGTACAACAGATTCATATACAACTCCAGTGGAAGAAACAACCACAACACAACCACCACCAACCGAGAGCACAACAGAACACAGAACCACAACACGTCCATCAACAACTGAAAGTACAACAGAATCATATAAAACTCCCGTGGAAGAAACAACAACACAGCCACCAATTTTACAGAGCACAACAGAATACACAACCCAACAATCAACAACAAAGAGGACAACAGAATCAGATACAACTCCATTGGAAGAAACAACCAAAACACAATCACCAACTTCAGAAAGTACAACAGAATACACAACACAAGTACCAACAACTGAGAGCACAACAGAATATAAAACCACAGCACAACCACCAACAAGTGAGAGCACAACTCAACCAACAATATCGACGAAACAATACACAACCACAACTCAGGCAACTACTGAAACTACAACCTCAGTAAAATATAGCACTTCAGTGTCAACAGTGTCCACAACAGGTATAAAAGCCACTACAAATATAAACTTGTGCTAGAATGAGCATTTAAACAATGTTTTCTTGAAATATAACACCAGTAGTATCATAATAAACACAAAGTGGCAAAACATTCTGAATGTGCTAAAAAAAAAACTGCCATGCAAATGTATTTTGTTCTTAAGTTTTTTTTTTTTCCATTCCCACTAGAATTAATAATAGTCACTGGCCCTGTTACCACCAATCTAACTCCAAGGTCACCTCAAAAACTGTATACGACTATTAATCCTACAATTACGACCCCTTCTCTGACATCTGTACTCAGTACTACAATACCTACCACTGAACACACAACTCCAGGTAATAGTACTAGTCATTGAACTCACAAATACACTACTACATGATAACATAACCCCAGGGCTTACTGCTGCTTAAATGACAGATCTTATGTTTATGTCTTTTATTTAATTAGTGTGTGAGTGTAAAGATGTGATGAGAAATCAAAGCTGGTCGTGTGGAGAAACTTGGAGAGAGAATTGTGCTGATAAAGTCTGTAAGGCTGGAGTGATTGAGGTCAAATCTATTACTTGTCCAACACCCACAATCAGGACTTATTGCCCAGGAAACAAGATGTCTTTGGTCAAAGATAAAGAGACTTGCTGCGAGAGCTGGGAGTGTGATTGTAAGTAAACTGACTAATATTGACTAAACCAGATTACCTGATTAGTTAGTAGTGTGGCTATATGTTTGTCTAGCCTAGTGGTTCTCAATTCCAGTCCTATTTTGCACATCTATATTATTTATCACAACTGATTCAGATCATCAGCTCGTTAGAAGAGAGCTCAGTGCATGAACACAGTGTTAATTGCTCCCTACTCTCTGAGCATGGGAAATCCATTGAAGTTTACTTCACTTCGGAACATTCATTCATGGTTTTGCACTACGCCACTGCCTGCAGCATCTTCACACACAGACTAAACTTACTAGAGAAGTGTGAAGTGTGACATATTATACCTCTGAAAATAAATACAATTTATATTCACATTATACAATTTAAATTCACGTCTTGCACACTTTAATGTCGTTTGAATGGTACATATACACTCCCTTCGAAATGGAATCATAGCAGAATGTCATGTGAAGTCCAGGGCACTTATGGTTGAATAGAACAAACATCTAAAGTAATAAGAGATACATACAAAACGTATGAGGACTGAAATTGAGAATCACTGGTCTAGCCAATTGAAAATAAAAAGGGACATTGGGAAATTAATTAGATTAATTAATTTATTTATTTTACAAACTTTTAGAAATGTTTGTATCATTTTGCTTCAACATCAACTTTGATCTGTTTTCGTTCTCAGGCCAGTGTCAGGTTTATGGAGACCCACACTACATCTCCTTCCAGGGGATCGCATTTGACTTCATGGACAACTGCACATACACTCTAGTGGAGGAGCAAGTACTGCAGCACCGATTAAGCATTACTGTAGACAACTACTACTGTGTGCCGGAAATTGATAATTCCTGTTCTAGGGGAATCACATTAAAGTACTGGAATGACATTGCCACACTTATGGTAACAGAGGAGTTCACGGTAGAGGTAGGTTTCTAATGACATTTAAAAATATGCTATTCTACTAATGTACTAATGTATTAAGTGTCACAGAGCCATACATTTGATTATGTATATTTGATATTATCAATATCAAATTACATATACTATTATTTTTTAACCAAACATCTCTGAATGTTCAAAGAAAATAAACTCAACTCAAGTTCAAGAAACTCTAATATCTAACAATAAAATTGATTTTTGCCCCAAACCTACAGTTCTCTGCTGGTCTATTTCTGTCAATGACTGGGGATGATAGTTCCCTTGAGCTTTGATGATAAGCAGATTGTCTCTATCTTTTTCCAGTCTACTTTGAACCAGGAGATTATAAGACCACCATACGAAGATCAGGTCTTCAAGTTTGAAAGCAGTGGTAGCCAGGTCTACATGTATATCAAGCCTATCCGCTCCTATGTTTCTCTCACACCTTTCAACAATCTGTTAATCAACCTGGCAATGGAGCACTTCCAAAACAACACCCAAGGACAGTGTGGTACGCCATTAAAATCATTTAACCTTTGATGGAAAGTAATTGTCACATTAGACAATGTATGGTTCATGGTACATATGATATCACAGACTTTAAAGAAATTGTTTTATGGCATTCATTCTCCATTTGACTTCATAGGTGTTTGTGGTGGGCAGTCGTGCATACGAAGAAATGGTGTAGTTGAAGATGACAACTGCTGTGATAAGACTGCATATGATTGGGTTGTAGAAGACCCTCTGAAACCCTACTGCAAATCTGCACTCACCAGTGTTCCTTGTGTCCCTACCTCGGCACCTCCACCTCCACCTTCCTGCAATCCTACAATATGCGACCTCCT